GGCTGCGGATTGCGCCCGGCCAGGCTGCTCTGTCCCGGCAGCGTGCAGACGCTGCGCTGGCCCTGAGCCGCCGAGCGAGCCCCAGGGCTCTCGTGCCACCTCTGTCGTCGTCTGGGGCGGGCATCTTGACGCTCGGCCGGCACCGTGTGTCTCGGCTGCTGGAGGGGTCACCGGCCAGCCAGAGCCCGAGAAGAGGGATGTGGAGTCCGTTACCGGTTTATCCCCTTATTTCGAAAATACTTACTTATTTATGCGGACAAGAACCGAGGTGAAGGCCAGAGGTGCGGGGGGCGACAGGAGCCGCCCAGACGGAGTGTGGAGTTTATCGACTGCAACCCACTGCTCAGAGGGCGCAGGGGGCCGGGAGGGGTCTGCTGTGCCCTGGGGGTGCCCCGGCGGGGATCGAGGATCACACAGCTGTGGCTGGCATCGCAGTGCCGAGGCTTCCCCCCTTGCACCCCTAGGGAGGCCCCCCTTACTGACTTAGAGTCACCCGGAGGGTGGCTCTGCACACAGGGTCCTTGTGCTTCTTATTTTGCCTCCGGCACTTGGGGGCAGCTTTTGTCATCTTAAGTTCGCTTTACAGTGTCAAATACGGAGCTGCTTCGTGCCGCCTGGCCGGGTGCCCCCAGGTGCTTTTCCCAGGGCGAGGCTTATCCGCCTGCTGCCCCCAAACTGGAACCTCGACGGCAGGATGTGTGGCGTGGGCAGCTGTGGTGGCGCGCTCCCCTGGTAGCGCAGGTTTGAGAAAGGAGAAAAGCTTCCAGAATCCCGTGTGTAAACATACACGCAGAGGCGCCCCGCTTCTCCCCGCCCCCTCTGGGCCGTCCCCGCTGCTCTCAGGTCTTCAGGTCCCTTCTGCTGCGCCGCAGTGGCGTGAGATCCGCCCTCTCCGCGGCGGCTGAGGCCCAGTTGGGACTTCTCGGGCGCCCTGCTGCACCGCCCTGGTCAGCCGCCTGCCACGTCGGTTCGCCTCTTTCGCCTCCGGAGCAGCTGCTGTCTCGGCGCTCGGCTGCCGTGGCAGTGTCGTGGGCTCAGAAGTGGCACTCCCGAAGGACGGGCGCCAGCCTGCTGGCCCAGCGCGCGTTATCGCTGCCCAGATAGTCGGCACCAC